CAAGCACCTGCAAAGAACAGACACGTTCCAAGCAGGCATGCGGCTGGCCCAATGCGATGATCTCAACAGCATTACTGGTAATACTTTAGTACTGTGCTTAACAGTAGATCAGTAGTAGTATATACAGGGGGCAAGCACCTGCTTAAAACAGACATGTTCAACGCAGGCATGCGGCTAACCCAATGCAAGCACCTGTGAAGAACGGACGCGTTCCAAGCAGGCATCCGGCTGGCCCAATGCGATGATCTCAACAGCATTACTGGTAATACTTCAGTACTGGTGTGCTTAACAGTAGATCAGTAGTAGTATATACTGGGGGCAAGCACCTGCTTAAAACGGACATGTTCAAAGYAGGCATGCGGCTAACCCAATGCCAGTAGATCAGTAGTATATACTGGGGGCAAGACCTGCTTAAAACGGACAYGTTCGAAGCAGGCATGCTTCACTGGGGGCAAGCACCTGTGAAGAACGGACGCGTTCCAAGCAGGCATGCGGCTAACCCTATGCGATGATCTCAACAGCATTACTTGTAATACTTAGTACTGGCCCAATGAGATTATCTCAACAGCGTTGCAGAAGATATACGTCAACATTAGTAGTATTACTGCAATGCGAAAACAAGAATTAGTACCAGAAAAGTAATGCTGTTACACATTGAAAATTCAGTACTAAACATACTACTACTTCATTACTACTACTTATTCTTTTGGAACTATTTGTATTACCCACATGGTTGTACTATTGCTTCAAAGATGAGAGTAGTACTACTGAAAATCCAAAGCATATAGATATTTTAACAAATAAATTTAATATTACTAGTGTTGTGATTCTTTTTTCATTATAGCCTGCTCTGAATACAAAGTCAAGCAAATTTCTGCATCTGGATGAAGGTCACATTCTTCAGCCTGGTAGTCATCAGGAGCTAACTTTCTAGATGAACTGTGATTGCGAGCACCATGTACTCTTCTCTTACCTTGTCGCCGGTCCCCAAGGCCTCTTATTACTACACCTTCATTCTCCGCAACTGTTTTCATTGACCTCAATACTTTTTCAATATCCTTTTTGATTGTTTCCGACTTAGGAGCAACTTCCCATACTCTTTTGTATGCAGAGGCAACACCTTGTGGAGTTGCCAGTGTAAACTGTTYATCCTTTTCAGGGTGATTCCTAGTCAGAGTAACATGTTTGGTAACAGCAGAGTGCAATTGACTGAAAAGACTAGTATCCAAAGGCATTGCTTCTGGTCGGTTACCCACAGGTCGTCTTCTGTAAGCTTTCAATTCACCACMAATACCGCCGGCAGCACTCATTAGATCGTTCTCTGGCAAAATCCAATTGTTGTAATAGTTCTTTTCGATCATGTATTCCACTGAATCTGCAGATGTCATTAAGCAAAGAGCATCATGATAGACCATTGCATTTGGACCAAGATGGCGTCTGGCCTCAATGAAAATATAATCAATAAGTTCGGTGACACACACTTTCCCTACCATTGCTACCTTATCAATCTCCGCTTCCCACCTATCTGGGCCATAACGACTCAAGAAAGGGTTTTCTGCTTCACGATGATCAATAACTGCTGGTGGATCACCATCAATGCAATTTTGAGCAGCTTGAATGAATTGCAATAGTCTCTTGCACGATATACCGTTGATTGAATCAGCAATCTGTTTGATCTCATCAGGCTTTTCAGAGAGTGATTTTAAGTGATTGACCGTAGTAATTGAGGCTTGAGCAAGTCTTTCAGATGTTGTTTTCGCAATGCCAGGGAGCTTTTGTGTGCTATCATTGCTGTAAACTACACCAGGAACTCGATTGCTTGGTGCCCATTGCGGAGATGGTTTGCCTTTGCTTTGGTGGGCTGTAAATATTGCCTGGTTCCGAAGTTTTCTTCGCTCTATRCGGGTGACCAGTTTTTTACCAGTGTAATCGAAGACCTTCTGGATTTTAGATCYGCCTTCAGTATGCGACAAGTACACACCAAAACAAAATCTCGCTTCTTTCTCATACTTGAAGTTTTCAATGCGCTTACCCTTCTCAGGATATACACCGTTTTCCAAGTCGAGATTACCAAGAGCATCTCTTCTGAATGAAATAAACACATTTTGTTTGCCTGGTCCACTCCGTGAAGAGTTATGTCCAACCAAACACTTTTTATGCATTTCATCAAACCACGCAATGTTAGTAAGCTCAAGCTTAGTAAGTTTATGAATATCATAACAATCTGGTGGGTTGTTGACATTATAAGCATCACCAAGAAGCTTTGAAAACATTTCATTGTCAAATGTAACCACTCCAAATCGAAGTAGGAGCTGCGCAAACCAGCGAAAKCTAGCCCGGCACCATGCAGAGTTAACATCGGACGATCCTTGTTTGCCTTTTCCAAGGCGACGAATACAAGGTTTGAGCCTATGAAAGCACCCATAAATTGAAGCATATGTCAGTGCAGATAGGCCGGCTTTTTTCCGGTAGATGTTAACTAAATAGGTAGATACCTTTAGACTATTCCCATCTTCTATAGCTGTAGCAAGAATTTCTGCCTCAATGCTATCTAATTTCACTATTGGCTTCCTACCAGATGCAACTTGTGCACCATCACCAGTATATTTCGTACCGTTCTCTCTGCAACKGGAGACGTCTTCAATAACCGAGCGGACTGTGTTTCTGAAGGCCTTGCGATGATTTTGGTTGAAAGCTTTCGCGATAGTAGAAACCGTTTTGCTTTCCTTCCAACGATTCCGTGGTGGAGCACCAAGAACATATTCAAAGTGAACAGCAATTGCAATTCGAATATTCTTCTCCGAGACTGAARCAGATTCCTCTGAAGTTGACATGTATTCATCAAGACTTAGAACAATATCAGCATCGTCGYCATCGCTATCCGTAAGACACTCGGTGTAGTTGACAGCTTGTGACCTACTACTAGTAGTAGTACTGTTTGACGCTGGGGTTGAATCGTCAACCCTAACATCACCAGAGTCTACAGGGGACGCAGGTGACCTGGGGGGGGGGCTTCTTTGAACTTGATTGAGACATAGCAGCAAGCTTTGCCTTGGCTTCCGCAATCATAGCATCTTCCGCTGCTGCTTTTCGAGCTTTGCCAAGCGCAATGCGCTTCGGAGGCTTCCGGTCCCCGCGAATTCGTTTATAACGTCCAAAACTTGATTTCTTTTTCGGTGTCATCGCAAAACGATACGTATGGGGAGGCTTGATAAGA